CGGAACTATATAATACTATACTAGATATTATAATTAAGGATATTTTTTTAGCGCTAATAGAAACTACCCTAGATAAAGCCCTAGGTATTATAGGAATTACTAATAGGTTTCTTAAAAAGTGCGAAATATAGCTAGCGCCTATACTAGCTTAGTTTTTTATAAGGTGCCTATATAAAAAACACTATTTTTAGCTATTTAAAAATTCTATTATAGTAGTACTATATAAGCTTTAGAAAGCGTTTTATATAATAGTAAAAGCCTATAGGCCGATCGCCCTGCTAGAAATAATAGGTAAGCTATTTAAATAGATTATAGCTATATAGCTATCGAAAATTGCGGAAGAAAAGAATATACTTTTACCTAGTTAAATAGGGGCATAACTAGGATATTTAATATAAATAGTACTTAAGCTTTTTACTAAATAAATCTATACTATATAGAAAGGAAATCTATAGCTTATAGTATTACTTTTTAGCCTAGATATATTAGGGGCGTTCGACTATATATTATATAAATATATAATATACAACCTATAGATTTAATAAGTACTAAAGTAAATAGTTAGGTTTATAAGGTTTTTCCTATAAAACTATACTATAAGGCTTACTATTAAAAACTTTATAGCAGAACCTATTATAGTTACTATAGGAATACTATAGGGCTTTTTTCTATTACTAATACTTTTTCTTTTTTTACTAGTATACTTCTACTAATACTATAGCGCGGTAATATAATAGCCTACGGGTTTATTAATAATATAAATATTTTTATATATAGTAAAAGTATAGAAAAAAACTATAGAGCTATTAAATAGGTGTATAACCGGTATATAAAGTAGGTAAAAAAGTATAGAGCAGTTTTTGCGCTAAATAAATACTATTTAATATACTTTATAAAAGCCTATAAGTCTATTAATATAAAAGCTATAGTTAATATATAGGGCTTTACTAAAGGCCCTATAATAGACCTAAAAATACTAAGGGTTTAGGTAGATTCTAAACTTAAATAGGGCCCGTATATTAATACTATAAAGAATAAAGCTATAGCCTAGATAGGGGCTTTTATAAGGCTTATAGTATTAACCTAGGGTATAAGCTTCCGAAAGGTATATATAATATACTCGGCGGTTATTAGGCCTGCTATTATATATAGATGCACCTCCTAGTATACTACACCGGGTATAAAAAAGCAGATTAGTAAGATAAAAATTAAGCAGCTTAAAACAGCATAGAACTAGTGCCTTTATACTATTTTAGGGGTATATAAAACAATAAATATTAGGGTGATAGAGTATAAGACATTATGCCCTCCACTCCGGCTAAAGCTGGAGGAACTTACGGTGGCCTACGCGGACCGCACACGCGAGGGGCCAGCCCGCGAGCACATCGAAACCTAATGCAGCCGCATAAGAGAAACGGTCCGTGCTAAATACAGGCCGAAAGGAACACCACGGTACGGCCCAAGCAGGCGCGACGAACTCCGCAAGCTCGCGGCGAAGGCATCACGGCTAGCCGCACAATATAAAGGCGAATCGGAAGAATCCTATAGGCGCACGAGGCGTGACATGATCCAGGATGAATACGAAGAGAAGTGGAAGAAGGAATGGGAAGCCTACTGTAAAGAACTACGCTAAGGACCCCTAACACCAGCACTCGACACTAAATGGAGCAAACAACAAGAGGCACTACACAAAGGACTCACGAAGGTAGAGAGCACAATTATCACGAACCTACGGACGGAGCATATAGGGCTCAACGGTTACCTCCACCGTATAAGAGTGCCCGGCCACCCGACGCCGGCATGCCCTTGCGGGCATAGCCTCCAATCCCCAAGACACATTGTGATGAGTTGCGGAAGACACGTTAAGGGCAGGGGCGAGCTGTTCCAGAAGGCTAAGATAAGGACGTATGAACAGCTCTACAGAAGCCAGAAAGGAAGAAAGGCCGTGGCCCAATGGCTCCTCCAAAGGACGGACCTCCTGCTATACCTCTCGGTGGCCAGAGAGATGGCAGAGGCGGAGATGTAGGCATTCCACCTCCTACAACTTTACATAACTATACATACTACGCATACCATGCATACCACGCATACTGCGCATACTATACACACTACGCATACTACGCATACTACGCATACTACGCATACTACGCATACTACGCATACTACGCATACTACGCATACTGCGCATACTACACACACTACGCATACTACGCATACTACGCCGCCTATATCACGCACCCACCCAACAGCTGTATCCACCCGTATACCGCAGCCCCCACATATATCGCAGCCTATACAGCACTACCCCCACATACATCATTCAATTCAAGGACCAACGCCTTGACGAAGGGCACGCGTGCGAAACGACAGCACGCGTGCCCTCACGCTAATCCTAAACCAGCTCACTACTCCGGAATCAACTCGACCCGCGCCTAGGAGGACGACTGCAAAACCCGGACAGATTTAGGAAGACGCATCACGATGGCTTATTCCGTGGTGGACTTGATAGATCTACCACGTGTCCCCAATAGCTATACAACAACGAGAAGAGCGCTCAGCGCTATACACCGCAGAGGACGGGGTTTTCATCCGAACGCTGCATGGCAGCAAACGGTTTCTCCTTGTAAACTAGCCTAGATAGAACAGCTGCATGGACCCTAACGAGAGCTACACCAGCGTAATAGAATTTAATAATAATAATAATATATTAGCATTTTTAACTATATCTCTTACTATAACCACGCTAGATTTCTATGCAATTAATACTTAGTATACTAGCCCTTAGCCTTCTATATAGCTACTAGCCGTTTTTCTATACTATTTACTAAAATATTAAAAAGATTTTAGTATAAAGCTAACTAAGCTTTTTTATAGTAGTAATTAAAGTATTTAAATTAGCCTATAAACTACCTATTCTTTAATTTTAGGTATATTTTAATAATTTTTTACTTTTACTAGTACTATATACTTAGTAGGGTTAAAATTAAAAAATTATAGAGGTAATTTAATAACTTATATACTATACTTTTTTAGCTAGATTTTAGAAAGTAATAGACTTTATTTACTTAGTAAATAATAAGGCGTTTATTATAGTATATTATAGCCTATAATTAGCTAAAATAGGGTTATATTTTATTACTACTATATAGGTTCTAGCGCTAAATAGTATTATAGATTACTTTATAGTATATTACTATAATTTTAGTATAGGGTTTCTTTAATTTAATATTATAGTAGATAGCTACCTAAGTTTATTTAGAAAGCTAATATAAAAGCCTATAATTTACGCTAATTTCTATACTAAAAGCTTGCTTTATAGTTATATAGTTATAAAGTATTTAAGGTAATTTTTAGTATAAAAACGCTAATTTATATAAACTTATAGTAAGTTACTATATATATTCTTTATTTCTTTATTTAATTAAAAAAGGGGGCTACTAACTATATACCCCTTTTTAACTTAATATATACCCCCTTTTTACTCCACGTATACCCCCCTATTTTAGCGCTTTAGTACTTTTTAATTAGCTTAAAAGGTTACTCTATAGCCTTTAATTCGCTTTTTTAACTTACTTACTAATTCTAAATACTTTTTCTAAATACGGCCTTAGTTATAATTAATTATATCCTTTTCTTTTTCCTTTATAATATAGCAGCGTATATAGCAGCGTATAAAGCAGCGTATATAGCAGCGCCTATAGCTATACCTATAGCTATACCTATAGCTAAAAAGCGCGGCCGGCCGCCTAGTGCAAAAAATAAGGTACTATAGAAAAAGGTACTTTAAAGGCAAAATAGTACTTAGCCTACGCTTTAGCCTGCGCCTTAGCCTATACCTTAGCCTATACTTTAGCCTTAGCTTTATTTTTAAATATAAAGGCTTAGCTAAAAAAAGCTTTTATATTAGCTTATAGCGTATAATAAGGAAATTAAGGGGTATATTAGGGTAAAAAGTAGGTATAGGCGGCGATGCTAAGGGGCTAGGCTTAATATAAAGGAGCTATAATAAGGTAAAGTTTTAATAGGTTTAGTATACTATTAAGTATATATATACTTCTAGAATAGAATTCTAATCTATACTTACTTAAACTTAAGCTATATAAGCTTATATATAAGCTTATACCTAAGGCTATATATAAGGCTATACGAATCGGTATAGCTATATAGCTATACGTAAGCTCGTGTATAGTATTACGTACAGCCTCGCGTATAGCATCACGTACGGCCTTATATATAGCATTACGTACGGTCTTGCATATATTATCACGTGTAGAGAGACGTAAGGGTGAATGCCCGGAGGAAGCTCCGGGCTCTCCGAGCCAATTAGAGGTGGGGAAGCGCCAAGATAGGGGGGTGTACGTGGAGTGAAAAAAGGGGTGTACGTGGAGTGAAAAAAGGGGTGTACGTGGAGTTAAAAGGGGGTGTATAGTTAGTGGCCCCCTTGTTATAATAAGGGGACTACTAATCGTACACCCCCTAATTCCTAGATATATACCCCCTTTTCACTCCATGTACACCCCCCCTCTTGGCGCTTCACCACCTTCTAATTGACTCGGAGAGCCCGGAGCTTCCTCCGGGCATTCACCCTTACGTCTCTCTACACGTGATGCTATACGCGAGGCCGTACGTGATGCTATGCACGAGGCCGTACGTGAGCTCGTATGTAAAGCCATACATAATGCTATACACGAGGCCGTACGTGAGCTCGTACGTGAGGCCGTACGTAATGCTATACACAAGGCTGTACGTGATGCTATATATGAGGCTGTACGTGAGCTCGTACGTGAGCTCGTACGTAAGGCTATACATGAGCTCGTACGTGAGCTTGTACGTGAGCTCGTACGTAAGGCTATATAAATTGGCATGATGTAATTGCTTGTGTTGTACATGGCCGCATTTAGAGAGAGCATTCGGAATTAATGAGCAAGTTAAGCGAGCGAATCGGAGGCTACGGAGCAGCCCTCCGAGCCAATTAGAAGGTGGTGAAGCGCCAAGAGGGGGGGGTGTACGTGTAGTGAAAAGGGGGTGTATGTCTAGGAATTAGGGGGTGTACGATTAGTAGTCCCCTTCCTAATGGCCTTGAGAAGTAATTACAGGGTTGCCTTAGAATTAGGTAAAATCTCTTAATATTCTGCTTCGGAGAGGATCTGTGTATCTGGCGGCAATTGGTTGCCTTCTGCCCCCCGCTTCCTTTTCCCCTTCCGCTCCTCTCTCGGCTCACTAGGACGCACAGTGTTCGAAGAGACAAATTGCTTCGCCCACGATTTCGCACTCTCAATCTTCTCCCTTAGAGCTGGCGCGAGTTGATTCGTTGATATCACGTCAACTCCAGCTCGCGCAAGCAGATAGAGTTCGGTCCGTGCCCGAGATATGTGTGGATGAAGACTCTGACCATACACAATCTCATGGAAATGACTCAATGCGATGTTACGTAGAAGAACCACATCTCCACTTCGCAGATAGTCAAGGGTCCTTCGGAGCTGGTCTTGTTTCCCAGGGTTAGTGACATTTTTCTCTGAACTCGGGCGTGGCGGCAACCAAAAGGTCACGGTGAAGTCTGAGCCCGTTTCGTCCGCCACTTGAATGTCATAGAGCATCATGACTTTATTCGACCGTGTTATGACTGAGCGAGGTGGTGAGATTGAGGCGACAATTCCGACAAAATTAGGTGTCAGTGTTTGAGGATATATAGAATCGAGGTATTCGGCCGAAGGGAGCAATCCCAACGGGGTAATTGGCAGATTAAAAGGTAGCTGGATGGAGATGTAAGACTCGTCACCCGCAATGGCAGCAGAATTGATTTGGGCGGCACCGGGCACCCAAGTGTCATTAGAAGGGCCGGTTTGAAAAGAAACGGATGTGATAGAAAATGACACCACGTTCCGAAGATCGACTTCGCTGTCATGAGGTGGCTCTATTTGGGAGGATTGAAGCGTCTCATGAAACGCGAGGGAGTGTTGTAAGTACTGGCTTTGCGCATTGAAAGTTGACATGTCTGAGGCTGACTCGGGAAATGGAGACTCATTGTTGGTGTCTGGTTCGAATGAAACGGCACGCAGGTCGATAGTCCCTGGGAGATAACCTTGTGAGGTGTTACCAAGGCATAAGTCAAATGACTGATTCGAGGTGAAAGATGGGAGGTTGGCGTATGAGAGAGACGGAACTGAACGCCAGTTTGGGACGGAAGAAAGCTTATCTTGACAGCTTTCTTGAAGGATCGCTTCCTGGTCTCCAAGAAAGCCTTTAATGGAAGGTAAAAAAGTGTCACGAAGCTCCTCATTAATGTCGCTTGCTTTAGGAGCGCCCGTCAGCAAGAGTACTCGAGGTCGTTGGCTTGCCATTGAAGATAATGAAACAGCTGGTTTATTGTATTTCTGTCCAGATTTGGTCGAAGCCCGGAGGCACAAATGAAGTGTGCATAGGCCAACTGCATGCACTGTCTTCGAAACTTGCCAATAGGATGAATCGAGTGCGTGGAGCTGACCGACTTGGATGCCAATGACGTGGCTGAGTGAGGTTAGAATACGCGTTCGAAAGATGTTCAGGCAGCAGAGGAAAAAGACGCTCGGAGGACACTTCTTCTCCGAACAACAAAATCCGACCCGAGCGGAGGTAAAGCGAGGCTTGCGTTGTGCTCGTCTGTTCTTATAAAGCTGCAGTTCCAAGAGACCGTTGTCACGGTTGTTGTGTGAATCAAGTCCTCCTTTTTGGTGTTGTTGAATTGCTTTGATGCGTCGTGGCTGCCTTCCTGCATCGACCTTAACAACCGCGAAAAGCTCCCGCGTTTACGGCCCCCACTCCTCCAATTCGCCTCACCTACACTCGTAGTGGCTACTGGCTAATCTTTCTTCGCGCAATCTGAGGATCTGATTATAAAGATCGCGTCACCCCCATGGCTCCAGCTCCCGCGCCGTCCTTCAACCCGAAGGCCCAAGGCTACAAAATGACTTCGAAGATCAAGAATCTCTATTACCGACTAACGCCCACCCAATCATCTACCACGGTACCAACTCTGGGCTTCTCCAAAGCACCAACAGCGCCGGCCCTATTCCCGAAGACGGATCCCGCTTCCGACGGCGATGAATGTCTCCACGACTGCAGCAGTTGCACCATCAAGTATCCAAGTAAATTCGCCATTGACGAGGATGAGGAGTTGTATGGCCACGTGAAAGGCTGGAGCACTCATTTGATTGTCGCCACGGGAAAATCAGATTGGGTGCGAGATGTCGCCGGTAATTGCTCCCGTTCTGGTATTGCTTCAGTCTAGCTGACCGAATACAGACGAAAAAGGAAGCATTATGGAGGCTGTGGACAAGGGCACTGTGAAGCCTTCGAATGGGGTGGGTCCTTTTTGACATGCTATTCCTCTTTCCGGACACTTGTCTGGGTGCTTTGATCTATTTCCGGAACTATGCACAAAATTGAATCGTTCGACCGGCCTTTCCCTGGGCCCCCTCATCGGATTCTACCCACTTTCGAAGGCGAAGCGTTTTCTTTTCGTGCAGACTTCCGAAAATAAACCAAGGCGTCCAACAGCAGCATGAAAATATACAATGCTCTCATATGCGGCTCTGCTAACCCCTTTCTTCAGAAACTCATGCTCTCTGCGTCGAACATACCCCTTCCTGAGCACGACACTGAGAGCACCAGAGTTCTGCTCCTCCCTGCATTCACATTTATCGACAACGTCACACCATCAAATGTACCAGATCTGATCACGAGCCACATAAATAAGGGCCCTGTGAATACGTCTCCGCTCGGTCAACCCTCTGAAACTGTACCGCCTGTAGCATCACCCCCAGAGCCCGAAGAGCAAACCTCCACACAGCCTGGGCCGGTCACGGGACCGACACTGAAATCCCATCCATGTCCGCACCAGTACCTCATTCTGCTGTGTAGTCAAAAGACGCGGGATGCTCGCTGCGGACAGTCTGCGCCACTTCTTCGTCGTGAATTTGAACGCCATCTAAGACCTTTGGGGTTGTACCGGGATCTGCACGATGAACGACCAGGAGGCGTCGGAATTTACTTTATAAGCCACGTCGGCGGCCACAAGTTCTCCGCGAATGTCATGATATATCGAAAAGAAGCTTCGGAAGTCTCGGAGTCGGGGCAAGCGGCACAGTGCGTATGGCTTGCTCGCGTGAGACCTGAGGACTGCGAAAATATTGTGAGATACACAGTCTTACAGGGAAAACTGGTAAAGCCAGAAAGGCAACTCAGAGGTGGATTTGACAGGTGCAAACAGCTGGTTAGTTGGTGATGATTTAGGGGCTAGGAGGGATCATTACTTTCGCGGGTGCTGGCAGCAATCGACCTTTATAGAGAGAGGCTGTCACAGAGGAGCATAGACGTAAAGACTTGAGATTATGAGCGACATATAGAGGCACACATAGATATGTAGGCTGCTTGCCATAGGGCATATCTATAGTCCGTAACGGTGGCACAAACCTGCGGGCGTAACAGCACGTTTATTTTAAACAATTAGAATATCTTCTATCCACAATTTCAATACTTTTAAGTGAATTAAAGAGCCTAGAGAAAATTCAAAAGGCCTAGCGCTAAATGCGCCGTCCTATTAGCTTTCTAGTATATAGGTAATGTAATATTATATAAGCTATATATTAACTGTATCTAAAATTTTCTATATTGTAAGTATATTAGAACAAGAATAAGCGATATATTTCTTTATTCTATTATCTATATATATATATATATATACAAATCTATTTATAGATCTTTTATTCCTTTATTCTAATAAAGAACTCTTTGTCCTAATAAAGGACTCTTTGTCCTAATAAAGGACTCTTTATATATAAAAAGGCTTTATCTTAATAAAGAGACGTTAACTCTTTATTATAATAAAAACTACGTTCTAATAAAGAACAACTAAGGTATATTAAAACCGCTGCCTCGCTCCGTAAAACTGAATAATTTTAACCAGTTTATATACTAATTAGTAATACAACACCTATTTAAACCTTTACTATTTCACCACGTGCCTTATATACCTTTATAAAGTAGGCTAACGTACTTCACAAGCGAGTCGGCCACACAAGCGAGTCGGCCACCTTATTATATTTAGCTGCCTTAAACGTTGATTGCTCCACAACGCCAATAGATATCAACTAGATACAAGTTGTAGCCTAATCTGCAGCAACCTCTGCATCTTTTTTGCACGTACGAGCGTTGTGCCCTGGTTCGCCGCAGCGCCTACAGCGCTGCACGCCGCCGCCGGAGCGCGCTCCGGCTTGCTGCCTTTTGCTTTGAGCTGCCTCCTCGATTCTTTGAGCAGCTACTTGAGAGCCTGCTTCCTTTGTTAGAGTTCCTTCCCTCTAAATCCGCTTTTTTTTGCGCGCCTTGCGCTTTGTGGCAGCTTTATTTGCCTTTTAAAGGCTGGCAACTGTATCGCGCAGCAGCGTGGCTTTATGCATTATAATTGCAGCACCTTTAGAGAGGCTATTAAGCGAGTTAAGAATAGCTGTAGGCGAGCTATTTTAATGCATTTGAATGCGATTACGAATTAAGGCTGATTGAGAGTTTAGCTCGAAAGCGTTGCTTGGTGTTTTTGATTCCCATTAAGCCTCCACGGCAGGAGGCGACGGCGTACGAAGCACAATATCAAGCTTTAAGAGCACTGCCTCTGGATTAAGCGGCACAAGGCCTGCGCCTCGAAAGCTTGCGCAAATATTGCTCTTTATAATTAAGTTGTAGAATGCTGCTTTAAATGCCGGCAGGAACTCTAGCTTTATAATGTGATTGATGTAGTGGCGTACTAGGTCCTCAATTTGGCGCCCGTATGCCTTTTTTAATGGCGAAAAGCAGCCAATATTAAGCGGCTGCAGCAGGTGCGACAAATGCGGCGGCATACAGAGAGCGATGATGTTGTTCTCCTTGCAAATTTGTTGGAATTCGAGCGAGATATAGCTCTCAGGCACCGCAAGCCCGACAAGCAGCCTGTACGAGGCGGTGCTACGAACCTGCTCCTACATTGTAGTGAGCAGAGCAGATGCTTGAGGCACGATGGAGCTGGTGATGGCGTTGTGGCCGTTCGAAGGCCCTCCACCGGACAACGACAACAACGGACCGCATCACCAGAACAGAGGAACAACCATCAAAATGGGTATGAAAACCATCCGACGTATGTCTACTTGTGTAGGAAGCAAGCCGAACGTGGAGCCGATGCCTAGGCGTACGATAGGACACCTCTGGGGTGGCGATGCAGAGTTTTCACCCTCCCCTCTATCGAAGCTCTCGTTAACTGATGGTGTCTACAGTGCCTACAGCGTCACCAAAGTCATTGGCGGTCAATTGGAGGACCTCAAACAGCGTGGTGCTCGCAGCCTTTGCCTAGGGGACAGCATTCTCATGGCGGTCAAGTGGAGGACCTTAAACAGCGTGGTGCTCGCAGCCATCGACAATGCCTGTAGGCGCCCATCGGCACGCGAGGAAGCCCAAAGCTCCTGAAGGGAGATGGTCACAGCCAGCATGGTGGGGGTAAT